TGACAGGGGGATTCTAGGGATGGACTTGAAGCACCAAAAACGAAGAAGAACAAGGATCATTACACACGCAAATCCAATCTCCTATATAGTGATGTGTTGGTGCTGGTGCTATGTGAGTTTAAATCATGTAACTTTTCACTATGAGTTGCTGCTGCCCATGTAGTGAGAGGATATATGATGCATGGATGGGGTGAAAGGAACCACCTTCAAACACTGTCTCACTACAACATCACAAAACACTTACTCTACAACACGCTACGGCAGTAGCTAGGTAGTTTTATGGCTTATCTACGTAACAATGACCTAAACTTCAGGGATGTAAAAAGCAAGGGACAAGACAGAGATGACTGGTGCATTTTAAAACTACAGCTGTACAGCATAACGTGCTTGTGCCACATTGTCTCCATTCACAGCCATTATGCTTTTTGTACAACTTATAGTTTGAGAAACTCCACACTATCTAAACCAATGATGCTGCCAGGTTCCATTTTAGGCGGACCCGGCATAAGAGTTTTTCGCCGAACTACGCTCGATCAGTTGACATGACTTCAAAGCTCCAACAGTTTCTCATAGATTGGTTGAGGAAAGGTCAGAGGCAGAGACAGCAGAAGTCCCTGCAATCAACCAGCATTGTGCTTTACAATAAGGGCAAGGAAGCTGTTGGAACAGCTCGCCAGGCAACAGCATAACTGACACTAAATAGCACTTGTTTAGTTTGCTGGATATCTTTCCCTATACATCTGTTCACATTGCACATCCTAATGTACCAGGCGAGCGAGTGGCAGACTGCAGAGGAACTCTCAGCCTCAGTATCTTCCGTAAGTAAGTGTGCACATTTCCAACTGGCTATCTTGCTGTTGATTTGCACGAAGCAACTTGCCAGAGTCTGCGCGGTTGGTGTTACGCGAGCCTTGCGGGGCACTCAGTCAATGGCCTTCATGTTTGTAAGCTGCCAATGGAAACCACAATCATGTGCAATAATCTAAGTATGTACATCCTTGTTTGAAGACAATACATGAAGTGACATGCGGTATCTATCCCCTGCTTCAGGCACTAGCAGCCCTATTAGCTACTACTTTCAACAGTTTTGCATATTTCGTGACTCTTACATGAAGTAACAACCTTATCTTTCCTCTCGTCAGTTGTCTATGCAATACGCCAGCCTATTGGGACATGTTGAGGTGGTGCAATTCCTATCTTCAACAGGAGCTATGCTGGACTCTAAGGATAAGGTAAAAATTATGGTCAGCGGGAGGTAGCCAGCATGGTCGTCACATGGGGGTGGTTTGGGTGGATGGTGTGGTGTGGACTTATTGTGTGAGGGATATCGAGTATTTCCCACAAAACAGGGGAGAGTGACGTCAGTGTTTTCATTGTCTCAGTTGTAGCCCTTGGCCTTGGGCCCTATAGCTACCGTAATATGCACTTAGTACACCAATAACAATGTATTCTGTTACAGCCCTCGCCCCCACCCTCTTTAAGCTAATCTTCCGTCGTGGGGACTGACACCATAGGTGCGGGGTTCGTATCCCGATCCGCACTGAAAGTGTCAGGTGGTCCAGAGAATTGGCTGGGAACAGCTCTGGTTCCTCCCCTTACCCACAAATCTACCACTGACCCATGTTTCTCAAAGGGCAGCGTACAGTTCGGCATAGCACTGCGTCCGTAGACGTCTGTCTGGAGAGATGAAGGGCTGGCCGTTTTTTTTTCCAACCTTGGGTTTTGAAATATTTTTTTTTGCACTAAACAATCCACGGGTAATACGAATATTAATAGAGAGATAAAAGTTGCCAATTTTTCAACCTTATATATTTTTTGGGCCTCAAACAGATATAGCGGCTGGCCATTTTTTTTCACCTATTGATAATAATCCATGGAAATGGTGCATAACATGCTGGTGCATAACATGCTGATGCATGGTGAAGACCATCAATTGTGGTGGTGCCACACTTGTGTATGGGTTCCACATTTCTATATAGTGTGCCGAGGGTTTGCACTTTAGTGTTTTTCATTACCCTCGGCGCGCATGCGCAGCGAGGGTACTGTAGTTGTGTTTGTCTGTCTGTCTGTCTGTTACTCTCAATCTCACTTCTCGAATGTCTGTTCGTCTCACAAACGATACAACCTACTTAACCGGCAATGAAGGTCAGAAATTTCGAACGGTTTTCTCTGAAAATGCTCCGTTGCTAAGCTAGAGCGCTTCCAGCATTGTATGGCAAATGCCTGTAGTCGCCATTTTATCGCTGGCGGCCTAATGCGCATGCGCTTATATTTAGCACAGGACCGGGTCCGCTCGCTCTGTCTATCTTGAAGGCACAAGAAGTCACAACGAGTGTCGTGTATCGACTATCCCGTGCTATCTACAACTGTAGCTAGCCCGCGTCAGACTCTCTGCGAGCTACTTCGCCGAGGGTTTGCACTTTAGTGCTTTTCATTGGGTTTGTCTGTCTGTCTGTCTGTCAGTCTGTCTGTTACTCTTCATCTCACTTCTCGAGTGTTCTTTCGTCTCACAAAGGATACCACCTACCGAACAGGCAATGAAGGTCAGAAATTTCGAACGGTTTCTCTGAAAACGCTCCGTTGCAAAGCTAGAGCGTTTCCACCATTGTACGGCTAATGCGTAGTCGGCCATTTTTATCGCTGCGGAAAATGCGCATGCGCTTATATTTAGCACAGGACCGGGTCTGCTTGCTCTGTGTATTTTGAAGGCACAAGAAGTCACAACGAAGGGCGTGTATCGACTCTCGCATGCTAATCTACTACTGTAGCTAGCCCGTGTCAGACTCTCTGCGCGCTATATACTAGCGGGAGACCGCATACTAATATACCGCGCATGCGCAGTTCGCCGAGGGTTTGCACTTCAGTGCTTTTCATTGATAATTTTTTACTGTCTACATGTAGGGATGGGGTTATTTATTATCTCTGCTTTACATAGATAAGGATGGGGGAAAACGGGATGGGTGATATGACTATATAGGGATGACACGGGTGAAATCTCACGTGATCTGCGTACAAAACGACTAAAAACTCGGTGAGAATCACTCCCTAGGCCTTCAAAACATACTAGCAATAGTCTACGGCCCATATCTACCTACACATGTCCCCCAAGACCTCATACGCACCTTCAGTCGTCCACGCGAGAATTCGCTCATACGCGATTTCACGATTTTCGTGTCATCATATCTTCTTCTCTTCTTCTCTCTTCTTCTTCTTTAGACCCGATTCTCCTTACTGGAACAATTGAAGCGCTAATTTTTTCACTGAACGTCTCCAATTTCGCCGGAGGTGTGCACGGACATCAAGCGATAGTTTCTTTCTTGCCGCTAGTCACTACGGTAGATCATGGAGCTCTCGACCTGAACAACGCCATTTGCTGCTTACTCAGCATCAGTGAGCCTCGCGTATGCGTCAGGCAGCGGCGTTTTTCCAATACGCTAGCGAGCGTATTAGCTACCAGGCGAGCGAGTTGGCAGACCTGCAGAGGAACTCTCAGCCTCCAGTACCTTCCGTAAGTAAGTGTACACATTTCCAACTGGCTATCTTGCTGTTGATTTGCACGAAGCAACTTGCCAGAGTCTGCGCGGTGTTATGTTACGCGAGCCTTGCGGGGCACTCAGTCAAATGGCCTTCATTGTTTGTAAGCCTGCCAATGAAACCACAACCATGTGCAATAATCTAGTATGTACATCCTTGTTGAAGACAATACATGAAGTGAATGCGGTATCTATCCCCTGCTTCAGGCACTAGCAGCCCCATTAGCTACTACTTTCAACAGTTTTACAATTTGTCTATGGTAGGCCTATCTACAACATACCATGAACATCAGAGTGACTGTAACAATGTTGTCATAGCTGTTAAAAATAGTGGAAACAAGTGGGGAAATCATTTGAAAGGGGGATATAGGGATGGCTTGAAGCACCAAAAAGAAAGAAGAAACAAGGGATCATTACACAGCAAATCCAATCTACTATATAGTGAATGTGTTGGTGCTATGTGAGTTTTAAACATGTAAACTTTCACTATGAGTTGATGCTGCCCATGTAGTGAGAGGATATATTGTGCATGGATGGGTTGAAAGAACCACCTTCAAACAATCTCACTACACATCACAAAACACTTACTCTACAACACTAAGGCAGTAGCTAGGTAGTTTTATGGCTTATCTACTAACAATGACCTAAACTTCAGGTGATGTAAAAAGCAAGGAGACAAGACAGAGATGACTGGTGCATTAAAATACAGCTGTACAGGCATAACTTGCTTGTGCACATTGTCCACTTCACAAGCCATTATGCTTTTTTGTACAAACTTATAGTTTGAGAACTTACCACACTATCTAAACCAATGTAGCTGCCAAGTTCCATTTTTAGAGGACCCGGCATAAGAGTTTTTGGAACAAAGGCTCGATCAGTTGACATGACTTCAAAGCTCCAAACAGTTTCTCATAGATTGGTTGAGGAAAGGTCAGAGGCAGAAAAAGTCCCTTGCAATCAACCAGCATTGTGGCTTTTACAAAAGGGCCAAGGAAGCTGTTGGAACAGCTCCCAGGCAAACATTAACTGACACCTAAATAGCACTTGTTTAGTTTGCTGGCTATCTTTCCCTAATACATCTGTTCACATGCACATCCTAATGCTACCAGGCGAGCGAGTTGGCAGACCTGCAGAGGAACTCTCAGCCTCCAGTATCTTCCGTAAGTAAGTGTGCACATTTCCAACTGGCTATCTTGCTGTTGATTTGCACGAAGCACTTGCCAGAGTCTGCGCGGTGTTACGCGAGCCTTGCGGGGGCGGCACTCAGTCAAATGGCCTTCATTGTTTGTAAGCCTGCAATGAAACCACAATCATGTGCAATAATCTAAGTATGTACATCCTGTTGAAGACAATACATGAAGTGAATGCGGTATCTATCCCCTGCTTCAGGCACTAGCAGCCCTATTAGCTACTACTTTCAACAGTTTTGCATATTTCGTGACTCTTACATGAAGTAACAACCTTATCTTTCCTCTCGTCAGTTGTCTATGCAATACGCCAGCCTATTGGGACATGTTGAGGTGGTGCAATTCCTATCTTCAACAGGAGCTATGCTGGACTCTAAGGATAAGGTAAAAATAATGGTCAGCGGGAGGTAGCCAGCATGGTCGTCACATGGGGGTGGTTTTGGGTGGATGGTGTGGGTGTGGACTTATTGTGTGAGGGATATCGAGTAATTTCCCACAAAACAGGGAGTGACGTCAGTGTTTTCATTGTCTCAGTTGTAGCCCTTGGCCTTGGGCCCTATAGCTACCGTACTATGCACTTAGTACACCAATAACAATGTATTCTGTTACAGCCCTCGCCCCCACCCTCTTTAAGCTAATCTTCCTTTATTGTGGTATTACTGGACACTTGTGTACTGCGTCACAAAGTGTCTACGCGAAATTCTTACCTCTGTATGGTACAATGTGCCAACAGCAGCGTAACTAGGCAAAGCAAACAGGTAAACTGCACCCAGGACAGCTCTTTCTTCTCAAGGAAAAAGAAGAGCTGCCCTATGTAGGATGTAAACCCACGACACTGCCAGCCTGTAGGGGTTCGAATCTACAACACAACACAAGACAAAGGCAAACCTCAAACCACTGTGCTATACTCTCACTCAGTGTGTAGGAGCAGACTGGGGTAATTAAACCACAAAGACACCCAACTCCAAACTGAGTATACGCATATCTTAACAACTTATTGGCGAGCGGAAGCGAGCTAACCTAGTGGTCCGAACGGCGCGATTTTTCTATATATATATATATATGTACCCGTACGTCGTCCAACTGCGCATGCTCCAGCATTACACGCTTCTTTTTATCCGAAAGGGATTTCAACATTTTCATAATGCTGCCTGAATCGAGCGGAATCAGGGGAAACGCAACACCTCCGAAGCTATCGAGTATTGCTGCACAGTGCAGCGAGGGATTTTTCTACATTGCCACTTGTTCCCTATTCCTGCAAGACCAATCAGATTGCCGGATTATGCCTGATTCGCGCTGTCGTCTGACTGTTTTTGACTCGACTCGAATTGTCTACTGCGCTCGGGTCGTTTCGGCCTACTTGGTCCTGTGCAATGTATCTCACTGTTTTGTGCACACACAAGAGCGACTCATACGATTAGACCCCAATTGTAAGCGCGCTTCCGCTCGCCAAAAATGCCATGCATTCGCCTACTAGTATATGAATATAATTATATGTATATGTATGGGACAACAACACAAACATGTATAAGTGTGGGTTAAGCAGGGCACCACTAAGTGGCTACATATCTGTTCTCTTGTTCTCGTGCAAGTAGGCCTGGTACACATCCACTTAGACCAAGACAAAGGACCATTACTCACTGTGCACATGTAGCATGTCAAGGCAATAATTAACCCTCGGCACGCATGCACAGCGAGTTTACTTTAGTTGCTGTGTGTGTGTCTGTCCGTTACCCAACATCTCACTTCACGAGCCATGAATCGCTCCACAAACATTACCACGTATTCAGTGTCGGGTATAGGTTGAAAAGTTTGATGTGGAACAGGGGGGTAGCTCAGGGATGTAGCTTATCTCCAATTTTGTTTTCCGTATTTATCAATGGGTTGTTGAGGGAGGTGGAGGAAGCTGAGATTGGGATTGATTTAAGTAGTGGTGTGAGACTTGGAGGCCTTTTGTTTGCAGATGACTTCGTTGGTGTTAGTGAGTCTAAGGATCAGTTACAGACGCTTATAGATGTGGTGCATGCTTACTGTCGGAAATGGAGGCTAAAGGCTAATGTGAGTAAAAGTGCAGTGATGGTGTTCGCTAATGAGTCAGTGGATGGTGCTTGGAAATGGGAGGAGTATGTTTTGCTTAAAGTATCTAAATACACATACTTGTGTTGATTTACCATCGGCGCGCATGCGCAGCGAAGGTACTGTAGTTGGGTCTGTCTGTCCGCCGTGTGTCTGTTACTCTACATCTCACCTCTCGCAACGTCTGTTCGTCCCAGAAACGATACCATCTACCCAACGGGCGACGAAGGTCAGAAAATAAAGGTGGTTTTCTCTGAAAATGCTCCGTTGCAGAGCTCAGCGTTGTACGGCTAATGCGGGTAGTCGGCATTTTATCGTTGGCGGATAATGCGCATGCGATTATATTTAGCACAGGCTTACTCTGTCTATCTTGAAGGCACAAGAGGTCACAACGAATGGCGTGTATCGACTCTCGCGTGCTATCTACAGCCCGTGTCAGACTCTCTGCTAGCCGTCGAGGGTTTGCACTGTAGTGCTTTTCATTGGGTCTGTCTGTTTGTTTGTCTGTTAGCTACTCTATATCTCACTCCTCGAACGTCTGTTCGTCCCAGAAACGATACCATCAACCAAACGGGCGACGAAGGTCAGAAAATAAAGGCGGTTTTCTCTGAAAATGCTCCGTTGCAAAGCTAGAGCGCTAAAAAGCCAATATGCAAATACACGACGGCTTACTACGGCGTGATCGATCCGCGTGCTCTGCGTACCTCGGAGGCACCAGAAGATGCAACGCAGGGCGTGTATCGCCTCTCGCATGCTATCTAGTAGTGTAGTTAGCCCGCTCAGACTCTGCGCGAGCTGGCAAGAGACCACGAGCAACAGCTAAAACTATGTAAACCCAGCCCATCAATTAGTGGTACAGTAGAAGGAATGTTAATCAGTTGCATAGTGTAATAGGGATATTAATTTGAGTGCTCGCAGGTTGTCATTAGGTCTTGACAAGGCAGAGTGGTTGCATGATATTCAGAATGGGGATTGCCCCTTGAAGGGCTTTCTGTCTGTGTGTCGGACAGTATTAATGAGAGGGAGATTAGAAAGTTTGAAGAGGGGCTAAATAGCAAAGTAAAGCTGTTGTTAGACATTTAACAAGATGGTAGAGTTAAAAAAGTACTTGCATGGGAAAAGTGATGCTGGATCTAGATTAATATTTAAGTTCAGGTCAGGCACGCATGAGGAACTGGGTAGGCATAGGGGGAGGGAGGGTATGAAGGAGTGCCTGTTGTGTGATGATGAGTGTGAAAGTGTGAGTTATATGTTGTGGGAGTGTCCAGCATATAGTAGTCTTAGGAGCAATTTCTTAGTTGCCCTGCAGGGGAAGCTTGGGGATGATGGGTTTGAGCATTTTTCCAGTCGCTTGATAGTTTCAGGAAAGCATCCGTTTTATTGTGTAGTGAGCTGTGGGAGGATAAATTTGGTTCTTTTCTTGGCCTTGTTGAAGGTTTTATTTTAGCTAAGGAAGGTTAGGTTATACGGCGATAATACCCAGCGTACAACAGACCCAGTCTCAGATTGCGTCTGGGGAGCTGCAGGGTGACGCTGGTGGAATGGGGTGAGTTGAGGTGTCTGGGAGGTGAGACAGACACCTCATGTTCATATGGTGTATGTTCGTTTGTTAACGGTTCCGCCCATTGTTCTGGGTGCGTGGTCTATGGCCCTAGTGCTATGGCAGCCACCTGAGTGCTATTATTTTAATTATAGGTTGAAAGTATGTAGGGTTTTCTCTGAAACTGATGCGTTCAGAAATTCAATATTGCTCTCCCTGTGTATCTTGAAGGCACAAGAAGTCAGCGAAGGTCGTGTATTGACTCCCCCATGCTATCTACCTGTAGCTAGCCCGTGTCAGACTCTCCGCGAGCTATATGCTAGTGGGAGACCACGAGCAAACGCATACTATTAGCCCAGCCCATCAATTAGCGGTATCGTGCATGCGCAGTTTGCCGGGGATTTGCACTGTAGTGCTTTTTCATGTTATACTGTGTCCCCACCAGGTTGGATGGACTCCTCTAATATCTGCTGCAGTTAATGGAAAGATTGATGTTGTCGTGGAATTGATATCTCATGGAGCTGATGTTGATATTCAAAGTAATGTAAGTCAGCTGACCCACTGACTATACATGTAGTAGAACCAAAAGTGCAGCATGTGATGCTCTCTGTTGATGGCAGTATATGTAGTACTGATAAGCCGGTTATACTATCCATGTGATGCTCTTGTTTTCATCACACAGGATGGAGACTCAGCACTGACTCTAGCAGCCAGTGGTGGTCACACTGATGTTGTTGTTGAGCTGGTGAAAGTGAGAGCAAAATTAGACCTTCAGAATAAGGTATGCAGTATGTTTATGCTTCCACTGGTTTTATAGATGACATAAGGTGAGTCGGAGGTGTCGCAAATTATCTCTATCTGTCTATGTGCAGGATGGAGACTCAGCATTAATACTGGCGGTCAGAGGTAGCCCATATGTTGCTGTTGTGTTGACACAATCTGGAGCTAACTTGGACCTACAGAATAAAGTATTGTTACACGTAAAATTCACTGTTTGCTTTATTGGTAGCCCTGGCACAATAAAGTGCATCCTGTCATGATTTACGAGAACTCATGTGTGGTGTCAAGACCCAAACAGCACTCAACACAGCAGTTAATGGTTGACCACACCTCCTTGTTCTCATAAATCACGTTAAGTAAAAGTATACTGTGCCACACAGTGGTTTCTGGTTTACCTTTGTGTTGTGATATTATTGTTCGCCCTGGAGCTATGTAAGTTGGTAAAGCGCTCGTCCAGAAAGCAGAGTGTCGTGGGTTCAAATCCCACCCAGGGCAGGTCTTCTTTTTTCCTTGGAATAAGGAATTGTCCAGGGTGTAGTTGATTTTAATCTCGTTGAACATCCTATTGCATACTACTCCTGTGATTTTCTAGGATGGGGACTCAGCACTGATAACAGCAGCCAGCGGTGGTCACACTAATGTTGTGATAGAGCTGGTAGAAGAAAGAGCCAAGTTGGACCTCCAGAATGAAGTAAACCTATTTTTAATTAATCAGAGCCATTTTGAAACTATACACTGTGGGTGCTGGTTATCATGTCCGTGGTAAATCCAGAGAATATGATTGGTGAGCAGCCTATTCGTGATAATTATGTGACACTGCACAGACGTTATGTTCATGATTCGAAACACGCATTTGGAAATTGAATTATAGACATTTGCTTGCCTAAGACTAGTGTACATACCCAGGCTAAAACTACAGCATTTTATTAACCCTCGGCGCGCATGCACAGCGAGGGTTACGGTACTTGGTCCGTAAGTCTGTCTGTCTGTCTGTCTGTCTGTCTGTCTGTTACCACGTTTTCTGCAACCACGCGAAACGAGACAACGAAAGAGCGATACCAAAAGGTTCAGCGCTATACCGGCTTGATTTTGAATTTGGCGATTTTCGTAAAAGCAATGCTATGGTATGAAAACCAAGTTAACAAGCCAGTATGCTAATTAGTATTTGCTTACCTCTAGGAAGCAATAAATATACGCATGCGGGTTGCGCACAATGATCATGTGTTTTTCGCCGTAAATGGCAGAGCAGCCAGGGTTTCATTTTTGTGAGGGCAGCGCTCGAGCAAACTTCTGGTCGTTTCTTGTGCGAATACTTTTTTGAGCTGGCAATCAGTACTCGTACATCGCGCGCATTGTATGCAGAGGGGGCTGACCGATGGAGAGCAATAGATGCCTGAAGAAGGTATGTCCACAGTGTGACACAACAGTACATGCTAGAAGGGTGGTTTGCGTATGTAGCAAAAAGGAAAGCGCAGTGTATTGCCAAAAAAGAAGCGATGAAACGTCGAAGAACCTTAGAGACTGAACAAGAGAAGTTTGCGAAAACAGAGCAAGACAGGTTACATAAACAGAGCACAAGGGCAGCTGAAACATACGATCAAATTTCAGCCTGGCAAAGAAGTGATAGACTGCGTAAAAAACCACAAGAGCCTCTGAAACAATTGAGCAGACGTTGCACTGGCATGAACGTGACAGACTGCATAAAGAAACACAAGGCTCTGAGCAGCCGTTGCACAGGCATGATAGCATAAAGAAACCACAAGAGCCTCTGAAACAATTGAGCAGACGTTGCACAGGCATGAACGTGACAGACAGCATAAAGAAACTAATTGAGCAGACGTTGCACAGACAGGAACGTGACAGCGAAACTAGAAAAGCAAAACAATAAAAATGAAAAGCACTGAAGTGCAAAACCCTCAGCGGCGTGGAACCACGCATGTGACACATAGCCCAACCAACATGCGTGGTTCCACGCGCCGAGGGTTTTGCATTTTAGTGCTTTTCATTGTTGTGAGTATTCATTGTACAGGATATACTGAATAATGTGGAAAGGGAAGAAAGTTTATTGGTAGATGCCTTGTCGGGAAGTGTTGAGGTTTCGTTAGTCATAATTAACCCTCGGCGTGCATGCGCAGCGAGGGTTGCCGTACTTGGTTCGTAAGTGTGTCCGTCTGTCTGTCTGTTACCACGTTTTCTGCCACCACGCGCAACGGCCAAAGAGCGATAGTAACGGGTTCAGTGCTACACTGGCTTGATTTTAAAAAAGGTGATTTTTATAAATCTATAATTATCTAAAGTTAAACAAGCGAACAAGCCAATTGCGAATTAGCACAGGCTTACCTCGACCGGGTCCGCTTGCTCTGTGTATCTTTAAGGCACAAGAAGTCACAATGAAAGGTGTGTATCGACTCCCGCATGCTATCTACTACTGTAACTTGCCCGCGTCAGACTCTTCGCGAGCTACTAGAGGGAGAGACCATGAGTAAACTAATACTAAATAGCCCAGCCCACCAATTAGCTGTACCACGCATGCGCCGTTCGCCGAGGGTTTGCACTTCAGTGCTTTTCATTACTACAGGAAGGAGATTCTGCACTGATACTAGCAGTAAAAAGTGGCAACACTAAAGTGGCTGTGGAGCTTGTTAAATCAGGAGCCAATTTGGATCTACAGAATAATGTAACGTTACTGATTGTTGCATTCGGGCTACATAGCTTGGGAAGGGAAGATGTATGTAGATGACTTGTGATTCTAAGTGGAATTGGGGGAGTGGTGATGTTTCATTAAAGTTAGTGCTGGTCATGTGACCTTAATCCTTTGACATGCTAAATGTATTAATACACTGAAAAGTGTGCATTACTGGTTAACGCACAATTTTCCACTTAAAGCACACTTTTTACAACTTGTGGCTAAGGTCACACGCAGCACTAGAACAGAGTATATGTTGCATTATGCTGGTTCCAATTAGTGCTCTCCGACAGAGTGAGGTACCGATCTCTATTACGTAATGCACGGGCCACATTACATAACATTGATTGTTATCACTCCGACCTTGCGCATTGAACTGCATAATGCACTGTGTAGTGTGTTCTAAATATTACTTGATACAGGAGGGAGATTCTGCACTGATGCTAGCAGCCAAAAGCGGTGTCGATGATGTTGTTAAGAAGTTGGTAGATGCTGATGGGAATTTGGATCTACAGAATATAGTAAATCTTTTACACTAATTATATTCTGCATGACTCACCATACAATTATGCTTGAATAAACGCCCCCGCAAATAAGTACCAGGTTAAAATTGGAAAGCGATACGCCAGACTTCGAATTAACACCGGGTGCTAGATGGGAATGACTGCTACACGCCTAGCAGTCCATTCAATCTTGCTTAGCTAGGTGTGATTTTAAAGATAGGAAGGGAATTTCAGCCTGAACAACTTTTTATGGTTTGACTATCCCAACATGCAATTCACTCAAGCTGGCTTTTTGACACTAGCTAATGAATATGGTTACACTTGTGTTTCCTTTTCAACTACGCAGGACCAAAATGTTCAGTGAGGATATTAGTCTAGGTACACCATTTTCCTCATAATTACGGTCACTGGCAATGTGTAGTTGACTTGTTTGCCTTGCCTTGCCTTTCTACCTCGTTACCAAGTTGTCGAGACATCCATACTCAGTTTGGAGTTGGGCGTCTTTGGTGGTTTAATTACCCCTGTCTGCTCGTACATACTGAGTGAGAGTTTATTGTGCCATAGCGCAGTGGTTTGAAGTTTGCCTTGTGTTGGGTTATGTTGTAGATTCGAACCCCTACCAGCTGAGTTGCCCTGGTAGCTCAGTTGGTAGAGCGCTCGCCTTCGCTCGCCTAGACAGTGTCATGGGTTCGAATCTGACCCAGGGCAGCTCTTCTTCTTTTCTTTGAAAAGAAAGAGCTGTCCTGGGTGTAGTTGACTTGTTTGCCTTGCCTTTCCTTTCTACCTCGTTACCAAGTTGTTGAGACATGGACTATTATATCAGCATTAGTGGGAGCAATGCTGGATTAGATACATGCATTGAATGGGTGAAGCTTTTGCACCCTTATGTACGTATAGCCTGTAGTGTTAGAATAAGGCTGCTACACAGACCAAGTGCTATAATTGTGGCTGTGCATGCACTGTGAGGGTAATTACGGGCACTTTTCAAGCATAACAGTACTATAGTCATAGTCTATAGATGCTATTTAAAGAGATGATCAGTTATGTTGGCCTTGTGTTACTACTTCCCTTTTTAGTATGGAGAGTCAGCTCTGATGCTGGCTGTCACAAATGGTCACATCAAAGTTTTTGTAGAGTTGATGAAAGCAGGAGCAAACTTCAACCTACCGAATCACGTATGTAATAATTGTCCATATTATGTGGAAGTTTTGAGTGTATGATAATCACTGACCTGGTCAGCTATTTTGTACTGTTTGTGAGGTAGGAGTCATTAACCCTCACCTGCGTGCATGCGCAGCGAGGGTTATTGCAGTCGGTCTGTGTGGGTGTGTGTGTCCGTCTGACTGTCCACCGTTTTTCTCGGTAACCACGGCAACTCTGAGCGTGAAACGTGGACATATTATCAAGTAGGAGGCATGCATGGTAAACTAAGATTCTGGAGCGGAGAAGGCCGGGGAAGCTGGCAAAATTGAGTGTGCGTCAAATAGAGGTCGCGGACGATCGCTGTACTTAGATGCTAGATGCTCTGCGCGTGTGGAGAATATTTCCTGGTCTGCCTGTATTGATGGTTTTGCAAGTATTCAAAGAAAGATTACAGCTGAAATTATTAAAGAAAGAGCAGTCTCTGATCTTCTCTGAGACAGCCAACTATTGAACCTCCATAATCAACAGTGGCGAGGGTTATGCACTTTCAAGTGGTTTTCATTGTTGTTTGCATGTCTCTTCAAACAGTATGGGGACACAGCACTCACTCTAGCAGCCACTGTGGGTCATACTTTTGTCAAGGAGCTGGTCAGTGGAGCTAAACTGGATGTCCAGAATGGAGTGCGTTAAGTGTTTGTTGGGTGTATCTATGTATGTATCTTGCATAGGATGGGGACTCAGCACTGATACTAGCAGCCAGAGATGGTCGTACTGATGTTGTCAAGGAGTTGACAGAAGCAGGAGCAAATTTAAGTTTACAGAATAATGTAAGCATGTATAAACAAATAAGAATATTGAGTGACACCTTCAAATGTTATCATGTAGTACGGAGACACAGCATTGATGTTAGCAGTCAGTTTTCGCCACAAAGATATCGTCGAGGAACTAGTAGATAAAGGAGCAAATTTTGACCTACAGAATCAAGTAAGTGTGCCCTCACACTGGTGTGCAGTAAATAATTATTGGCATAAACAAATGAGCTGCTGGATGCTTGGCTTATTTGCTTGCGTCCAAGATCCCTATATTCATTTGTTACACTAGAATCACAACACATACAAGACGCCCAATTGCAACCTCTCTTTGCAATCTCTTTAGGAAAACAGCACATAGGTTTTAATAATTGGGAGTCCAGGGTTGTGTTCCTTTTCTACAGGATGGAGATTCAGCACTAATTCTTGCAGTAAGGAGTGGTCACGTCATATTTGTTCCAAAATTAATAAGGGCAGGAGCCAATTTGGACCTGCAGAATAATGTAGGAGATAACGTTACTTAGATGGCCTGATTATAGACATGCTTCTCCGTAGGAAGGAGACTCAGCAGTTATCGTAGCTGTAATGGAAGATGAAAAAAATATTCTAAGGCATCTAGTGAGGGCAGGCAGTGACCTGAACCTCCAGAACCAGGCGAGTTTACTGTGGACACTGCACCACTTAATATCATCCTCATTTTCTAATAATAGGAGAACCTCACAGCTATGATGATAGCTTCAAGAGATGGTAGAACTGATATCGTTTACATTCTAATGAGGGGAGAACGTATTGGCCGGGATATTCAGCCAGGACGATAATAATAATATAACTATCCCCTCATTATTGGTGTAGAGTGTGTTTTTTACATTGTCAGGTTCTGTTGTGATGTAGAATTATACTCATCCTCGGCGAACATACGCAGCGAGGGTTACAGTAGCTACTTGGTTTGTAAGTGTGTCTGTCTGTCTTGTCTGTTAGCTCCACGTTTTCTGCGACGGCTGCGCACAACGAGACAACAAAACAGCGATACGAAACGGGTTCATCGACCACACTGGCTTCATTCTAAAAAAGGGCGATTTTCGTAAAACTATAGTAAATGGGGGTAACTTCGGACACGGGGTAATACCCGGACACAACTCGCTATTCAGAAACAAGAGAAAGATTCGGATATATTTCTATTGATTACTACCTGCCAAAGCGCTAACAAATGTTCCTCGCGTTTTTTTCGCAGCGCATAATTTCGAGGCCGGTGCAATGCCCCATGTCCGGAGTTACCTCAGCGTCCGGAGTTACCCCCATTTACCTTACTGCATTCAGAGTGAAAAGCAACTGAACAAGCAATATGCAGACAGCGTCCGCTCGCTCTGTGTATCTTGAAGGCACAAGAAGTCACAACGAAGGGCAAGTATCGACTTCTGCACGCTATCTACCTGCTGTAGCTAGCCCGTGCCAGACTCTGCGCGAGCTACTAGCGGGTATACCACGAGTAATGGATTAAAAAGCCCAGCCCATCAATTAGTGGTACCGCGCATGCGCAATTCGGCGAGGGTTTGCTTTTCTTAGAGCGATTATATATGGCACGTGTCAAATCTTACGGGATCCGCATACAAAATGCCTCAAAACCCGGTGAGAATGACTGGATATGCCTTCAGAGGTCTACATGCCTATAATAATTATTATTATACCCAAAGACTTAATTAGCTAATACGTGCCCTTAGTTAATTCTCCACGTGAAAATTCGCTGAAACGAATTTTAGTGTTATCATTTTCTTCTTCAAACCCGCTAGCTACCTCTTTACCAGAAACAGTTGAAGTGCTGATATTTTCACTAAACGTCTCCAGATTCTATACAATTGGAAAAATCATTTCTTCAAAATGAAGGGGGATATATATGGGGATGGCTTGAAGCACCAAAAAGGAAGAAACAAGGGGTCATTACACACCAAATATGCACAAAGCCACATGACACCATCCCTATATCTTTGTCTAATATTAAACTTTGCTTATGAACAATAAAACAAAGATATAGGGATGGTGTCATGTGGCTTTGCGCATATTTGGTGTGTAATGACCCCTTGTTTCTTCCTTTTTGGTGCTTCAAGCCATCCCTATATCCCCCTTCATTTTGAAGAAATGATTTTTCCACTTGTTTCCACTATTTTTAATGGCTTATGACAACACTGCATTTTCAGTCACTCTGATGTTCATGGGTATGTTGTCAGAAGGTAATGGACTCCTCTTACCTAAAGCAGGGTGTATGCGTAGTGTCTCCAACAAGGACGCGATTAGGTTGTGGCACTAATGGTGGTGGTTTCATTGGGCAGGCTTCAGAAATGAGACTACAATGATAGCTATAACCTGATGATGATGACACGAAAATCGTAAGTGCGAATCTCTCGTGGGGAACTGAGGGCACGTAGGAAGTCTTGGGACATATGTATAGCTAGGTATTGGCCTCTAGACTATTGCTATGATTTTGAAGCCATGGTGAGTCATTCTCGCTGAGTTTTGAGGTGTTTTGTACACGGATCACGTGAGATTTCACTCGTGTCATCCCTATATAGAGCGTCTACCGACGCTCTGATATGCACGGCCACCAAGTGATCGTTTATTTGTCGTCACACATCGCTACTGTAGATCCTGTAGCCCTTCCACAGTAGACTCTGAACGGCTGCTAACTCAGAGGGGCTTTTCCTGATGGGCGCGCACAACAGAATCCGCAGGTCGGTACCCGTGTACCAATCTGTCAGGACAGATTGGTAGATTGGTACACTGAGACTCGAGTTTTAAGTTGTTTTGTATGTGGATAACGTATTTGACACGTACCATAATCGCTCTGATTCATTCACACCAAGCAAAAACTGATGTCAGGTTGGGGCATTTATAAGTAAATGAAAGGTTTCCCGAGAGAAATTGCGATTGTTGCATAAGAGCAATGAAGAGAGGTAATGATACAGTAGAGTAACTGTGAGAAATATTAAAGCATGAGGATATGCAGGTGTACCAGTGTGAACGGATGTATTATGGAAGTGCTATTTAGGTGTGAGTTATTGTTTGCTTGTAGCTGGGAGTTGTTCAAGAAGCTGTTGAGTTTCCTTAGCCCTCTTATCAAAGCCACAACGCTGGTTGATTGCAAGGGACTTTTCTGCCTCGGACCTGGCCTCAACTAGTCTGTGAGATACTGTGGAGCTTTGCCCGAGTTAGATAAAAGAATGCCTTGTCTCCATCTGTGAGATAACCCTCATCCACATCATCCAAAGTCTCTTGAGCCCTGAACTCTAGCTCCTCTAGTGTGTCCTCACCCTTGTTTTTTTGTCGGTATTCCTCCCACATGTTGAGATGGAAGAGTGCTTTGCTCACTTTCACCCTCTCTGTGACAACCCTCTTGGACTCTGGCTGCTGTTGAGCATGGTCCATGGCTCGGGTGAAGAACAGATTTGCATCTTTGTAGAAACTTCTGTTCTTTGTCCTCTTATATTCTTCAAAGAGCATGAGTGCCTTGAGTCTCCATGTGTAGATGGTGTCAATATCTGGTCCAAGGTTGTGTGCTAGCTGTAGAGCTGTCTCCATATGGTCGTTTGCTTCCTCCAAGTCATTGTTGCGGTAATGCAGGCCAGCGATCCTCCTATGCAGGCGGCACTTGAGAATTGATCTGTTTTCACACTCACCTCGGTCGGTGTAGGCAAGTGCGCTAGTCAGGACCTTGAGATCTCTCTGAGTTGACCATGTGGACAACTTCCATGGATACAATCTTGAGGTCTATGGAAACCTCGCGGTCTTTTCGCAGTCGTATCATGAGTGATTGAGCCTTTTCTTCTTCCTCACCCCATGCCATTTTGAACAGAGAAGTGTAAACAAAGGCATGAGATTGTTTTCTTCAATGGGCCAGATGGGAAGACAAGAGATGGGTACCTGTGTACTAAATTGGTGGATGATGATGCTGAATCAACATGATCATGCTCAAGGTGCTCTTTTATTTCTGTAAAGTCAACACTGGCAGCTTCAGAATCATTCTCTACACCTAGCACTTGTGGTGGAATTTTTACAATTCCTGTTCTAGTTTCTTCTGTCCTTCCTTCAACAGCGCTTCCTTCCGCACATACCTCATCAATGCTCTTTTCATCTAGATCAAACTCTGCACCTTGGATTGGTTTCATGGCTGCATAGAGTGCAACCTGGTTAGCAATGGCCTTCATGCCATGTGACTCTGAAGCCCTAAGTGGAAGGTTCACACCTACAAAGATATAACTCCTAAAAACAAAATAGGTTGAAAGGAGGTTTACTTACGATATGGAGCAAATATTTCAGTGAGTTCAACATGGCCTATATGCTCAGGTTCTTCAGCCAGGGCTGTCAGAAAGCCCTGGAATCCATCTGGCCCTTTTCCCTTTATAAACTCTACCAGTTTCAAAACACGAGTATGTTCACTTATCACCAAATTTAAGAGTTCAGAGTTTTCTCCATCAGTCAGCAGGTGATGTTTGTTCAGGTAAGGCAGAAGGGACTCCAACTTGACATACTGCACTAGCTCAGGATAATAGTGATGTAAGAGGACTTTAGCATCTGAATGAGGCAGTGTAGAGCAAATTTACATATAGCTATTATACCCATTATTGGTGAGAGGGAGCGAGCTAACCTAGTGGTGCAGTATAATATTATATTGCATCACACTTTGTGGTTTGTTGATGAATGGCACACTGAATGCTAGACATGCATCCATAACACACCATGAATATACTCAAAATATGCCAACATACCAGTAATAAATGAGCCATCTTTAAGTGGGAGTTGATCACTGGATTGATCTGTGAAAATTCATAATGCACACACAACCAGTGTATATAGTAGTATGACCAAAAGTGCCCACTGCCTGCTAGTGCTGCATGTTAATTTGTTGCACTGATCGAGCTAGGGAATAATAAACCAGGCTTATTGTGTAAAAATCAGACTCAGATCAATAATAGCTATAATAGACACTAATTGAACAGTGAAACAAAATCCACACCCAGCAAGATAAATAATTAGAATTAGGTTGTGTAGCTAGAACCTGGGTATTTTAGAGCAAGTTTCTTGTGAGGTGGAGTCCATTGCTCGAGTTCAGATGGTTGTCCAGCCTCTATTATTTCCTCCTTACAATCGTCAATGCATGTCCTCTTACTGTGCAGTAATAGAAAATAGCTCATATGAAAGTTTGTACTTTCATACATGGAACACTCATGTGAGTAACAAGCAAAATAAAAAAATCCCATGAGACCCTGAAAAGCATCGTATTAATGCTTCATACTGCATTGTCATGTGAGAGTAGACATTGTCCCTAATGCAAGGTATGCAGTATGTAATCACGTGCTACACCAGGCTTTCATATACTGACCAGTGGCATGCATTTATTCCTGTTTCTGAGGATGCACTAACAAAAAAGGATAGGGGAATAATAGCTACAGCTTATTCCCAAAAACTGTGCAATAAGGCAGAGTGTGTTCCTTCAATAATGAACATCCATGTTGGACAGAACAGAGAAATCTTATGAGATGTTTAGTAGTTCAGTCTGTCATGGACGATGTAGTAAGTAAGTGACCAAGTCTTAGACAGAATCTGTAGCTTTAGCATGCATTTTGCTTGCTGATAATAGAGTGCTAGCTATACTCGACCTGTTACACTATCATTCAGGTTTGTAAACTTTCAGGCACATAGATGGCTAATGGCACCAGAGTACTATAGGTATTATAGGGATCAGGCAGCCTAGCGGGTATAGTAGCGGTGACACAGACACAAGGCGTGTTAAATAGTAGTGGCTTCCGCGCCTGTAGCCGCTAGTGGACCATATCAATCTAAGCAGCATAAATAAATATCACTTGTAGTTGACGGCTGCGAAAAACCTCAAGACGGTTGCTAGGTACGCTTAGCTTAGTTATGTATAGAGCACTGCCATCTGCGAACTGCACATGCGCGGTATATACCCCTAAAAACTGATGGGCTAGGCTGGCTCACGGCTGTTTCACGCGCTCACTTAGTTTAAGCGCGCATATGGAAATCATCGCGCTTAGTGCGTAACCGCCCCCTACATGAAACCTGCCCGAGTCAACGCTTGGTTGCTGCCGCCTCTACTGGGAAAGAAGCGACAGCCAAAGCGCTTCCTTCACCCATATACAGAGTATAACCCTTGTGGATACCTGCAACAACTTCGCACTGGCGAGAGCCGGCTTCGTTTTGTACTGCGCATCGGAAGTACAAGCGTATACAAAAAAAACAGGTTCGTGTTCGTAGCCCTGCACCACCGGCGAGGCATTTTTTATAAGCCAGAAACACGCCTGGAGAAGTGCTTCGGTCTTGTAGGAAGTTGAATAAGCCTGTCAGAACTCGGCAAGCACGCGACATCGGGGGCTACTGGAGCGTTTGTAACCCCCATACTATGGCATGAATACCGTTAGAAAGAGCCTGGTATCCCCTGCCCAGCGCTTTGTTACGCTTCTGGCTCAAGAGGAGATAGAAAGGAACACTGTAAAACATCTGTAGTGATTTCAAAATAGTCATTGACATGGATAGCTACAGAAACCATGACGTGAGCCCATGTCGCCCATGATACAAAGTGTAAAGTGAAACATTGGGTATAAGAGAACAACTTGCAATATACATTCTGTGACTATTAGTTCAGAAGATGCTGAACATGAAGTTCAGCAGCAAACCTACACTCCTTGAACTCAGCGTGGATGTTTGTCGACGAAGGAATGAAGTACAGACACATACTGGGCAATATCGATGTGTGTGTCGACGAAGCAATAAGTACCACCATACACTGTCCAGTACTAGACAGAGACATGGAGCACACATATTATAAACAAACATACTACACAAAGCTGGAGCTGAAGACTAAAAGTAGTTTGAAGTCAGCTGCAAAAAGGAATCTAATACAGTTGTGGAAATATGAGATGAGTCAGTTAACTGTACACAACCTACTTGAAGAATGCTCATGACATTGTTCTTCTTGGAGAGACAGCTCTGACTGTTCTTAGAGCACCACGGGACGGTGAAGGCAAGTGGAAGGACAGGGGGATAAAGCGGTAGCATCCCACTGTTTCTTGTATAGGCCGTCATTATACACGTACACATCAATATATGGCCAGATTATGACCAAGAATACCGCCTTCGCAAGGATGCTTGCCGTCGCATACAGTATACAAACCGGTCGTCTAACGCTTTTCCCTTCTGCCTTTTCAATCAGACTTTCTCTCAAAATTGCTGGCGATCCGGTAGAAGACAACTTTTCAGGCTTGATAGCTGTTCATTCTGCTGCCTGTGCCGCTGTCGAGAAGCGACCATGGGCCACGAAAAACGTATCTACTCGTAGCGTCTTCTCCAAGGTCACGTGGATTTGCGTAAAAACTCCGCCCCACTAATCCTCGGTGCGCAAAGCGCCGTGAAAAAGCCATAGGGCCGTTGACAACGCCCCGTTGCTATGGAAATTTTATGATTACGTAATGATTCCGTGACGTCACTAAGTTGGTACGGAATTGAAACAGCCGTGGGCTGGGGGTGTGGGTAAACCCCGGGCGGTCAGATCAGAGGATCGAGGCGTTGCGTCACGTGCGCCTTAGAGTCGTATGCTCGCCCACGCAACCCAGTCAACCCGCTGAGTCAGCACTTTCTGCAGAACGACACACTGGCGTTTGCAGGCTATGAGTGTTCTACGTGGTACACACTTGGACATATAAACAATCAAGAGGTAGCAAGGTCTTGGCCCGCCTGAACACTAGCCTGAACACTAGCCAGAACAACTTCCTTTCGCAGCTACGATACTTGATTACATTATAGCCGCATGCGCAGACAGCTTAGGAATGTTGATTGTGTGCAAACTCATCTGGGCTGGGCTTATTATCACTAAGTACGGGAGTTATATGTAGAAAAAACCATGAGAAAAAAGATGCGGAGCTCTGGACAGCTGTTTCGGGCTTGTTGGCCCTCATCAGCAGAGCATTACCACAACTTCTCTCTCTGGGACCATGAGTTTATGGCTAAGTTGAGCGCAGCACTTGAAGGAGATTCATCCTCACAAGGCTTTGCCAGTACCGAGCCAAAACCCGAACTCAAATTACTGACAACGGATTGGGCCGCGGCAATGAAGCCAGCAAGCACCCATATCCTGCCAGTGCATACACATGTAGAAAAAAACCATAATATAATAGCCATAACATTACGCGTAGCTAGAATCGTATATTACGCGTCGAATGCCGTGATATATGTAAGAAATCTTTATGGTACGTTTAGCGTTCCATATGGCAGACCATCCTTCATACATACTTTGTGCAGTGTCCATTGGTAGCAAACATACTGATGATCAAATTAAGTTCTGTTTCAGTGTTGCATCCTCTTGTTCATTCCTTTCTGACACCCCTCTTCGAAATTAATGCTTAACCAGGTACATACTAAGTGAATGGTGTCTGTATAATGCTTGGGTAATTGCCATCTCATCCTTACCCATATTTAGTCAAAGTATACTGAGTCACCATTACTAAGAGATTATGATGCTGCCTACACCACCGGTTTAGTTTACCTTTCAGCATGTTCCAATACCAGAAGGTGTATATATGGACTTGAAGGAAAAAGGTTTTTTCACAGCTGCTCATAAGTAGTATTGGATGTGAAGAAACACACTAGTAGCAATGTGGCAGGTTGTGTGGTTGAGCTTCTTTCTGGCAGTGACCTGTGCTGAGGACAACTGCTCACAGACCTGGTTTCACCTGTCATCTGATGGTAACTGTGTGTGTGGTGCCAATGTCGGGGATACCGTACTGTGCAGTAACGAGACAAGAGAGGTTCGTCTTCAGCTACAGTACTGCATGACGTCCGATGGGGATGAAAGCAACATTGGTGTGATTGGGAACTGCATGGCATCAGTCAACCATGATGTACAAAGGGTCATGGGTCCAGATGGTAACTATTACAAGATATTGGCAGACAGGTCTGCGCAAGACAACAAGACATGCGGTCATGCCAACCGCCATGGACGACTCTGTAGCCAGTGCAACCCAAACCACACAATATCAGCTTACTCGTATGTACTAAAATGTCACCAGTGCACTTCTGTATAATATTGAGCAGTGTTCTTCAATACATTGCCTGTGCCTTTCTACCTCTCTCATTATTCCTTGCTGTTATTCTACTATTTCGGATCAGTATCACTTCTCCGGCTATGAATGTCCCAGTCCTCTGTTGTCAATTTCTCTCTTCCCCACATTTTATGAAAGGTTTCTTATGTGGTACAAGTAACACAAATTTTTTCCTGTTCATGGAGTTCATTGCTACCGTGTATGGAATTTGGAACCTGGACTTCTTTCGAGCTCTTATTCCCCCTATATGCCTGCCTCTAACAACATTGCAGGTGATTGCCTTGGACTACCTGGTTGCTGTTTATCCTCTTCTTCTCTTGATTTTCTTCTATGGTCTTGTTACTGCTTATGAGAGAGGTTTTAAACCATTTGTTTGTCTCTGCAAGCCTTTTCTATACCACACAATAATGCTAAGACGCAAGTGGCACATCAAGAGAACAATAAAAGA